AATAACAGAAGTTTCCGTCTCCTCATTTTACTGTTGGAAATGGAAATATGACAGAGTATTTTCAAAGATGCTAAGTTTCTGTCCATCCCCTTGCTGGACTACAGTAACAAGTATTCCGAATGTCTGAAAAAACAGGATTTTTTTTGAAGATAGGAAAGGGGTAGCAGAACCAGGATCCACATCTCGGGGATGAGCAGTTTTCTGGATCCCCCTGTAGCTGTAACCGCCTCCACGCAGCATCTCCCTGCTGCACCCCGGGCCCAGATGCAGCTGCTGGCCCTGCCCAAGCAGGGGCACACCCTTGCTCCCACCGCAGCTTGCCAAGTTTTAAATGTCGAGCTGTCTGTTCACAGCAAAGCAAAATAAAGCCTTGCAGTCCACGTGCAAATCAACAGCATATGGACGAGTTTTCTCTACATGTCCCCCATGACTTTCATTCAGTTTGACTGTGGAGTTCAGAATGTCCCGTGCTTTAAAGGGTGTTTGGGAACTCTGCTTTCTCCTACAGCTTAGAAAAAAACTTAACTTACTGTTTCATTAGAAGCTGTTATTTCAAAACTTGTTTTCATTCCTAAACAGAACCATAATGATCCAGCCCACGCTCTCAATGCAAACACTTAACACAAAATAGTTTTTAGAACAAACCATACATTTCAAGACTTCCTGGTAATATACATTACTGTTAAAGCAAATATTTTTCCATCGGTTTTGAGTTTATCAGGGTTGCAATAAATTTTGCTAGTCCTCACATAAAGACATTAAAAATAGAAAGGCATTATGTGTCAAGTGAATTATTTCCGTTGGATCAAATGAATCCCTCTCATCCTGATTTCCAACCTTAATTCTAAACATTTCTTGAAGGAACCAAAAAATATGTAAATATAAACAATCACTTGAAATAAAAATATGCAGTGTACGTTATGAAAATATTGGCATGAAATGATTGATGTTATCAAAGGATCTCTTTGCCTCAAGATATCTAAATGAAATGAAATTGTTTCTGACAAGTTCCTGAAGAAATTTTTAGTTCAAATGAAACCATGTTTTCAAAGAAAAACATTTCAGAGAAAAATCTGTGTCTCACCCATTCAGTGCAGAGTCCCTGCCTGACTCATAATAGAGGGGAGCTGTTTGCCATGCCGTAACTTTCATTCTGAATTTGCCTATTTTTAGTGCCCTGTGTCAGAACTCAGGGGCAACTTGGGGATTTTGCTTTCTTTTTTTTTTTTGTTTGTTTTGTCTCAATATGAGTCATTTGTGCTGTAGGTTGATATTACGGCTGTTTGTAAACAGTAAATTATGAGCTGTTTCTAAAAACTAGAACAGGTTTTACCAGAAGGGTGCCCAGCTACTGCCTCTCCTTTAGCTTTTCTTTCTCCTGTTCCGTGTGCATTTAGCTACACAGTAAATTCCACGTATTCTTGTAAATGTAAGAGCAGAATAAATTTAGGAACCACAGAACTTTCAGCTGCCCCACCTCATTCTCACACCAGAGGTTTCTAAACTGCTCCTTGCAGTCAGCTACTACAGATATGCATGAGCAGCAAACCACTGCTGCCTCCAAGGCATGTCTTGTCTCCACGCTTATTTGCAGCATTTCTCTTAGGACAGGTCGCATGGGGTAGAATCTGAGGCTGTAACTTATTTTTGCAACATGAGTGTACTGAAATCGGGAAAATTCAAAATCGTCTATGATCAATAGAAACAGAAATGAAAAGACAAATTCATTTCACACAGAAACTCGATAGTGTAAATACCTTTTTGGGTCAGCATGTCCAGCCTTCTCAGCCCTAGGGCCAGGGGCTAGTTTTGGCAGCCCTTGCAGGTTTGTATGGATCAAGTGACCCAGGTAGACCAAGCATCTGGCTGGTTGTAAATACTGTAGATGGATTTCAACTTATAAACTTTCTAAGCTCTTCTTTAAATACCTCCCCTTTCCTCCAAGACAAAAGATGTTTAAAAAAATATGGAAGAGGCCTTGTAATACTTCCAGTAAGACTCTAGCATCTATACTGCATCTTGAACCTCTTTCATGCTGTATCAGCATTTCTGCTTCCATGCTAAAAACTGGAAGTGAAAAGCCATCTTGTTAGAATAACCCAGAATCAAGAAGAAGTATGGAGCCAGGTTGCAAAACCAGGAAAAAAAATCAGAGGGAAGTAGGTGACCAAAAAGGAGGAAGAAGATGGTTTCTAAATAATGCTTGTATTTGCCTAACTGGGTAGCAGAGCTACCAATTAACCAATCTAATAAAAGAAAATCTGAATTTTAATCCTATTTCTTATGGCAATGCATGGAAACATCTCCTGTTCGAGTCATTTCTATTCCTCACTTTTTCTCTCCCCAAAGGTATCCATATCCACCTCATAAGAATGCTGTGAAATTCAACTGGTAAATTTTTGTCATATAAAGGAGAGAGCTGAAGAAATGCAAGATTATTTCATAACAGTTTCTCAATAGCAAAGTTTTTGATCTTCATAACATTATCCAGAAATAAGACAGATATTTCTGCTCAGCTGAACCCAGCTGGCTGTGTGGAAAACATTTCAAAATCTGCCACAAATCTTTTTTTCTTTTTCTCCTGATGTCTGTTAATTTAGTTAAAACAAATCAATTAAATGTCCTAATTACAACTGAAATATATAATTATATTGTGCACTCAGTTCAGTGCATACTAATGAAGCAATCACCACCTTCTTAGTCACTCTTGAAAACTAAACCCAAGTGGGAGCTGAAAAATGTTTTTCTGTATCTTCAAACAAGGCACTTGATCCCTTCTTCACTTGTTTCTAAACTTGAAACTTGAGCAAAACAGGCAGAAAAATATCCCGGATCATTATATATTCTTTTTTTTTTTTTTTCTTACAGTGAAAATTCAAGAGGAATTATCATCCACTAAGGTAGATCAGCTCACTTATAAATTAGAGACTATTTTTAACGTATGTTAATCTTTTGCCAAAAACTTTTATAAGCTAGCATAAATTCAGAAAGGCAGTATACAGCTCTTGAAAATGCTTCGCTATTATGTCTACCTCCAGGTAGGCTCCTAAACAGGTAGGGCTTGATTTTAAAAAACTGTAAACATAGTCTGCTGCTGTGTATTGACATCTATTGGAGGTGACAGTGCTCCAACGTCTGATCCTCATACCTGCTACCGTTTTGTAGGTAAATCTTCTCTCAGCTACATATACATAACCCACATGAATCCTACAGATCTGCCTAGCTGGAGGAAGAATAGTTCGAAACAAAATTTGAATGATTTACTAGAGAAAATAGTTGGTGAAACACTTTACCAAAGGATTCTCATCTCAATACCACTGCAGCTTTGTCTACTTCTTCTCCTGTTAACAACCAAAGCCCAGCATGCCAACACCTCCAGAAGAGCTGGGTGCTCACAGATGTGGCCTGTGGCTTCCTCCGCTCCAGCCGGGCAGGGGATGGGGACAGGGCAGGGACCCATCCACCTGCATCCTCCAGCTACAGCCCAGCTCTCCTAACACTAGCAGAGCCAGAGGTGGGGGCCCTGCACAAATCCCTTCTTGCCCTCCTCAGGCTCTTGCTGCCGTGGTTGCTGCAGCGGCTGGTGTTTCAGGCTGGACAGGCACCGATAGCAGTGAGGACACGGTGGGGAGCTGGGTGGGGAGGCAACCAGCAGCCAAGAAGAACAAAAGGAGTGGGAGGCGCCTACAGCCCGCCAAAGCTGACACGTGGCATCGTGACACAAAACACAGGCGCCTTAATTCACCACTACCTTGAACCCTATACAGCTGCGTACAGCAGCCATGCATCTTTAGGGGATCAACTGATAGGGGCAAAGATTACCTTCTGAATTTCTTGCAGCCCACTGTGCAACAGAGCCACGGCTCCTCAGCAGACCAGCAACATGCAATAGATGGATAATAATTTTGACAAGGCACCATTTACACCCACTTGCATCACAGGTGTGCAGCAGAGAAGGAGTTGCCCAGTAGGCTAAAAACCTGAGACCCCCCTCCCAAAATATATTTCTGCAAGGCTCAATATTGTTTTTCATCAGGAATGAGCAGCTCTGAACTCTTTATACCTTGGATATATATGTCTTCTCTTTCTCGATTACTCAAATACTTCATCCCAAATTTAATTTAGATGAAAAGTATTTTGGTGAGTGTGCTTTGCCTGCCTAAACAGAAATATTATAGCAGCTACTTAAATGGTAATTGATAAATGCATAAAATTACTACCATTCAAACTGCAAATCAGTTAGCAAAATTCAATGAGAGTTTAAACATTTCATTGCATTAATGATATAAATGCATAAATTTACAGAGAACAGCATCCAGGCATTTGGCAGTCTTCCACTGTATTTACTTAAAGGTGATAATGCATTTAAAAAGCACTTGAAGCAGAATATGTATTAAACGCCACTAAACTTGCATAGATTTATTAGTGCAAGCTTTTAGACTGTCTCTGCCCTGAAGCAAACTCATTTTTATTTCTGGAAATTAAAAAAAATAGAGCAATACATCATTTTAAGAAACATCAGAGAGGTCGGTATGGTAGTTATCTTAAAATACTGTATTTCTTCATGACAAGTGTAGTTCTTTAGCCTTTAGTTTGTATGTGACTGACTGATAGGACTGCTAAGAAATGTTGGTAACATCCACAGGATGTTTCATATACACATTAGTGGAAAAAATGGTAGTTTGGAAAATTCTCTAGCATCTCCAGAGACTAATGATCTGACGCTTCTAGCACCTTAAAGCACCCTGATTTTTCAGACAGTGCTGAAATCCTGTCCACCTAGAAGAAGAATCAGATGCCTTTAATGGTGCTCCTAGCCAGGCATTTCAAATTCTTTTGGGAACTTCAGCTGATGAACATTATTCATTGTCACAACAGATGCGAGCAAAGACAGCAAGAAAATATTTGGAGGTATTTAATGGTATTTGCAAAAGTGTTCTATTAGCATTTGCAGAATAAAGTGCATGCAAAAAGAAATATCTTAAATATTAAATATGTACCTCAGGATAAACCCACAGGCTGGGTACATGTCTGCATCGTTATTTTCACTGAAGAGAGATCAGTAGATCTTGAAAAGTAAGGGGCGGCAGGGCTTAGGACTTCTCTCTGAGTTGGAATAAAACAACGTGATTTAGATGGTTGGTCAAACAACTCTGTGACTTGTGTGTGTATTGTGTGTCACAGCAGATTGTGACAGACCCCCATCCCTTCATTTCAGGAACAGTATAGCAAACAGTATTTGTGGCTGAAGAATTAAATCAGAGTAAACCCACCCACCGTGAAGAGTTCACGTGCTCTGTTCCCATATATCAAGGCTCCTACATGCACGTGGACCTTAAACACAAAGGTCAGTGCTGTCACTTTTGTACAGAGGACGCGGAGGAAGGGTGGCATTTCTCATCACCCCGCAATAGCGCAAGGCACAGCATTCATGTCTGCGGGGTCCTGTGTCAGGGCTCTCTCTAAAGGCCACCATGCCTTCCTAATTAGTGTTCTTACCACTGGAAGAAACAACATAAATTAGTGAAGATTTGCCTCATGAACCTTCCCATTGAGGTCAGATGCTGGAGCTGGATGGCCTGTGTCCTGAAGCCAGCACTACTCCAGGCTCCCATGGTAAAAATCCCCACTGTCTCACGCCTCATGCAGCCAGCAACGCCGAGTGTGGGTGTAAACATGGCCCTTCTGATCTGCTGCAGATACACGTCCTGCACTTGTGCTTCTGCCTATATTTACAGGGTAGGCACCCTTCTCTCGGCTGGTACAGGTTCTGAATGGGTGAGCCGGAAGGAGTAGGTGACAGAGATCCTCTCCATTTCAATGCTTTTCTGGCCAAAATCCTTTCTAGGATTCAACCAAGATCTTTAAATACAACTGAGAGCAGAATTTGACTCAGGGAGTGTTTCCCCATTTTATTCCCTACAGCTTTTCATTACCACCTTCTAAATCTGCAACGAAATCAGGAGCTTTTTTTACGGTGTGTACGGTATTACAGCATTGCTAATAAGTAGCTCCATTAAAAATAGTAAACATAAATCATTTATAGATTTTATGCATTTCTAAGTCCACTTGAGAATATTTTTTGGCTGAGCCAAGAAATAAGTAAGGGTGTTAATTATTATCTTACTACAGCAATCAGTTAATAAGGCAGTTATGAGAGATGTTTGTTAGGAGGTTCTGGGGTGCCCGGAGGCTACTGAAGTCATTGTCTAGGGAAGAACACGACCGCCGGAGCTAGCAGGAGTCTGATGGCACCAAACCAAAGCCCTCGAGGCCTCTGTCTGCCAATTAGCTGAGAGGAGAGAGCAGACATCAGGTCTGAGCTGGGGAACTGTAAACAAGTGAGCAGGTAGGAACTGCCAGCGCAGGCTCTCGCAGAGCGGAGAGGTGGCTGGGCCCCCTTGGAGGAGGCTGGCAGGGCTCCCTGGGGGCAGGGGGGGAGTGGGAGATAGAGAGGGGAGTGGGTTCGGTTTCTCTCTGCACCCCCAAAAGCCCAGCAGACTTTTCTAGGCTCCGCTGCCTCCTCAGGCCAAGGAACAGGGTTCTGCACCTCCGCAGCTGTGGGGCTCTCATCGCTCCCCTTGCCAGCTCCCGGTCCCCTCCATGGGTGAGGAAAGGGAGTATCTTCTAAATGTGAGCACCTTGATGCAGCTCTGCTTTCCCTGCTAACCCGTTCATCTGGTGTGAGGACCCCAAACACTTTCAGTCTCCTCCAGGAGGGGAATAGCTCCTTTATTCCTGCTGCATCAGCAATGGATTGACATCCAGTCTGGTGCGGTAATGACCAAAAGCCATTGATTCTCTGACCGTGGCCAGGTGGCCTTTGCTTCCACTGTATTTTCAGAGAGGTCAATACCACAAAAACAACTCGTAACTGGCACCTTCAACCCAGAGACCAAGGACAGAATGCGTTTTAAGATTAAATGCTAAAGCTAAAGTTCAAGGAGAGCAGCACATAGGGGCATCTTGCTCGTCTTCTGCCTGATTTCTTCCCGTTCAGTGCTCAGTAACTTCTATTTTCACCACTGCAGCAGCAGGGGTGACAAGAGCTAAATACCTCCATTAGTGACTTGCAGAAGGAAGGTTAACCCAGTCTCCTGAAGCCGAAGGAAAACCACAGCAGTCTGCCCTCAACCTAGGGTGTGTCAAGGAACCTGTCCATAAGGGAAGTGTTTCTGGTTATGAATTATATACTACAAAATCCCTGTGGCCCTATTAGAGATGCACTTTGAGGTGCTCCAGGGATAGCCTGTGCTAGAAACTAAATTCTCCCTGTGGGACAGAAGAAATATTATAGTAGTTGTCGGGGAAGGGAGGGGAAGAAGCCACTTTCTGATGTACTTCAAAGCTAAATAATCTGATTCCTTCTGTCCAACATCAACAGGGGATGATCTTATGTAACTTCAAAACACTTAAACTGATTTGCAGCATAGAAATAATTTAAAAAATGCAGGCCCTTTTACTTGTCCTCCCTAGTCGACCTAGCCCTCAAAATATGACTGTATGATATCCCATTTAACTTGCACATGGGAGACCATATTTAATTGAGACGAAACAGTCCAAGAATATATCCCAGATCTACCCTACAGTTTAGGATAGTGCATGAGTAGAAGACTGTTCCTTGTCAGTGAGGGAAATACTGTCATTCCCATTCTGTAGACAGTAAACTGAGAAAGAACGGGGTTGAATACCTAAGCCAGGGACACAGGAAAATCTGTAGTCAGGCTGAAAAGGGAACTGAGATCTCCTGACTTCATCCAGTGGTATTGTTCTTGGGCAGATTATTTTTTTCTCTCGGGAGATTCTGTAAAGCTTCCAACAAATCTAACATGAATGGCCCAGAGCTGACACTGTCTCAGGGAGCTCTTCCTCCACTGGAAGAACATAGATGGAAAATAAATCTTACATACATCCAATTCATTATTTAATAATCTGTCAGGTTTTATGCTGGAACAGCTTGCTCAGAAGTACAACCAGTGTCTGTCTGAATGAGGACAGTAGGACTGGAGTCTTGGTATCTGATCTCACTGCTGGAATTTGTCTGGCAGGAAGAGCGCTCTGTCTGCTTATATTGCAATTTTTTAATAATCCTTTGATTCCTCCAACCTGTCTCTGTCTGGAGTGTTAACCTTTGGTGCTGAGGCTGTGCTCTCCTTCTTATCTTCCACACCTAACATGCTGAGACCTGATTTCAGGTGGGAGTGGCTCTAAAACCAATATAACAACAAGAATCGGACCATCAGTAAATTTCATTTGGTCCCAAAAGGAGAGCTGAAGAGCATCCCTCCATGGACATCCATTGCCCTGACAGAGCTCTAGCATCTCTCTGCTTAGAGAAACTCCTCCTTAATATAGACAGTGAGACGTTTCAGAACCATTATACAGTACAGTTCAATTGATACTTTACAAGGCGACTTCACTTTTAAAGAGATTTAGTTGATTCCTTCCCATAAATTCAGCAGCTACCCCAACTAAGCCTCATTGAGAAAACTTCATCTGACAAGAGTCATGAATTATAACCAGGATAAAATGTTTCATTAAAATACAGATAGAGGAACTTAGGAAGCATGTTTTTTTGTATGGATAAAACCAATTTTGCTTCAAAAGCAAATACTTAGCCATTTTTCAGGTCAGTAAGTTTAAGTCTGGGTGTTATAAATCTATCATCAATGTTTTCTTACAGCTATAGTAGCTGACACATCTGAATCACTGGGAGCTAAAAGCATGCCAGAAGAAATGAGAACCATCAACACACATCAGAAGGAGACGTATAGCAATTGCTTCTCTAATGTACCTGACTGCTGACAGAACAATATTAGCTTGCTTTCTCTCAGAGTGGCCGTGCGTAAAAACGAGTTCATAATGAACAAATGTCTGTCCATGAAGGAATTGATTTAAGTGTATCAATTAAAAATTAGCCCCAGTATCACTAGAGGGATAGCTTTAAGCTTAATTAATGAAAAAAGCTTAATAGCATTTTTCTTGAGGTTCAATCAAGTATCTCTGATGACGGTGCATATGCACCACTCCCCACTTCCAGGGGAGTGTAAATGACTCCTTCTTGCACTGATCCATTTAAGTAGTTGTAAAATCTTGATTATATCCTTGTCGGATGGGTTTAGTTCAGAATAGAACTGCCCAGAAAATTACTCCTCCCTCTCCCATAAAACATTACCATTGCATTAAAAAAAGATGTTGATGATTAGGCAAAGAATTGTGGATAAAATAAGTTTTTGTTTTTCTGGTGAAAAATGCATGTGAAAGAAGAGCTTCCTCCTCAAAAAGTTCAAATGTCATGTTTATGTCTAGATTCAAGTAAACTAATGTGTCAGTAACATTTTCATCGAGGGCGTTATTTGCCCTAGATGATAATACAAGTTAATTCACAACCAAAATGAGGTTACAACTTTAATCTGTGAAGAAAAAGAGTCCCAGGGATTGCTACTGTACTACCATTAAGTGTAGGACACTTCTGCCAAAATACACGCTAGGGACAAAATATTCAAATGTGTCTAGTAAGCCGAAATACCCTAAAATGGAGGTACCAAGATCTTTTGGGTTTGAAACTGCATTTGTCTCATACACCCACAGTGCTTGATATTTTTGTCCCTTTGTGCTCTGAGGCAGGAAGGTTCTTCTTACATCCTGCTGTCTGCAGTGGACACGTGTGATCTCACGACAAGGAAGGGCATGTGAGGATCTCCAGAAAGAGGAGAGCTCGGGGTCAGCTCTGGGGCATCAGAATAATTCATCATGATAACTCACTGCCCAAGTCAGAGAAGGCCCCAGGGAAAAGGATGGCACCGGGTGAGCTAGGAGAATCGCTCTGGCACGTGGTGTTTCAGATATCTCTCAATTCTGTCCCAAAGAACTCATTTTCCTCATTCTTTCCAGAATTTTGTGATACTGGAATGTAAATAATGAAGTCAGAACAAGTTGTGTCAATGACTTCTGTAAGAAGGACTAAGATTTAGTATTTCATTTCATTTTTTTCATATAATCTGGACAGAACTGTAGGAATCCTGAGGAATTTGGTGCTTCAAAATCTAAATTTTACAATATGTTTCTGGAAGCATTTATCCTACGAGAAAACATGAGAACACTCT